GTATATATACTATAAATAACTGTGTTTTTATACTATTTAGTTTTATTTATAAATTATCTATATTGTATATATGTATATATATATAAAAAGAGCTGTAAATCCTATAAGAGAATGGTACAAAATAAAGTTGTTGTTGTTGTTGTTGGACATAGCTTATCATTCTTAGGCTGGAATTTGATTGTAGTCGCACTTGAACGAATAAAAAGAACTAAGATATATCATACTCACATGAAGTGTTATTTACGTTGTCCTTGGTCTTTAGTAGTGATTTCAAGCCATCCATTATCGATTTTTAAAAAATCTTCGCTTTCCCTCTGAACACTTTCTAAAGAAGGAGAAGACCAGAAAGTAGACATCAGACCTTAGATCGAGTCGTAGCAAACTATGATCGAGTAGACCCACTCATGATCGGAGCAGAACTTTCGACATTAAATCGTGTTCCCCTGCTTTTCAACTTGGCAGGGCAACGAAGGATAATTTTCCAATTCTACGAAACACACACAAAGTCCCATGAAGACCACTTACAGAGGCAAAAAGCCAGAAGAAAGATTCAAAACTCCCTCATAAAATGGACGTTGCATAGACGAAGCTGGGCGCGGGAAACGTTGGACCAAATATGGAAACCGTTAGCTTGGTGGCCTGGTTTCCAATGACAAAATCATCAGTACGGGGGACGTGAGTGGACATTTTTTGGCAAACCCTGTGTGAAAGAAGCTGTCAGAACAAGACCAAATTTTCATAGCTTTAGAAGGATCTTGTTCGATTTGAGTTGACATTGTCAACATGTCACTGACGCACTTGTGTCAAGAACATCGGTTCTGTTTCTCATGGAGTGGTGAATGTGGTCCACGTGACGGTTGGTTGTTCTTGATGTGCCCGCAATAGTCAGTACAGCGGACACACCTCTGTCCCACGTTTTTCAACATGTCTAGCGATGCCGTATACGGTTTTCCGAAGCTCTCAAATAACTTCAGCTCCTGTACGGTGCTTTCATAAACCAGCTATATTCAAATATGAAATTATGAAATTCTCAGGAGACCAGTTTGCACTTCAAGTGACCACAATCCCTTATTTGAACAAGATCCTTTGCTGAAATTCAAGAAGTTCGAATCGACCGGGAATCGACACACGTTGCTCCTGCATACCAAACAAATTCAAGGTGAGAAAACACAAATATACTAGCAGTTTCATACCTGAAACGGTTGTATCGTCGGGAATTGTCAGGGGAATTCTATTCAATTTCGATTAATCGGATAGTAGTCGTACCGTACGATAGCACGTGAATCGTTTTTTCACCTTTTCACGGTGTATAATTTACCTTATCATCATTACTGTTTCATTAGAAATACCGACGTAGCTCACACTAGTTTTAAGCTAGTTATATCTTCTACGATAGCATAAATTGAACTAGACGCTGTAGGCAGCGTTGATTGGGATACCTGAAGGGGGGAGTGGGGGACCTGGTTTCAACATGCATGGAGTATTTAGTTGGTTAAGCTTCCAAAAATACTGATAAAGTAGTAGGTTTGAGAAGTTTATAACAGGCTTTATTTGTTTTTCTGTTGGATTAAACTTCTCATTGTGCCAAACAAAGGAGTGCTGTGTCATTGTTTCATATTAGTTTTGTTTATTGTTCGAGCATAAACGTGCACATTTGCACGGGCATTGTATGTAGCTCGCTTTAAAATCAAAATGCTTAATTTAAAACGCAAATACGGGCTAATATTTGCTCCAGACCTCTCTCACAATTGCTTTACATTTTATAATTTTATAATTTATCGATATTTTTTAATGAGTCACCATGTTTTTGAAGAAAAAATTAAAGCAGATCATGACGCTTCGAACGGCAAAAATCAAACCCTGGAATGTGCTTAGCAAATTATTTATTTTTCTTTTTAAGATCAAATATCTTAAAATGAATATTGCTATGTGCCTCATGTTCCTTTGTGAGTAGACTTTGAAGCCAAAACAGTTGATATAAATACGTAAATGTAGGCTATAAGAATATCTATATTGTCATGCTGAATGAATTTGCAGTGTCGCTTATCGTATTTATAGTACACTCAACAAAATTACTCGACTCTGATTGGTCGAGAGGAGTACAATTATAGCGTTAATTGTACTCCGTAGGAGTACCGAATTAAGTCGCTATGGCAACAAGGCCAAAACAATGTCAAAACAATTATTTTCTATCATTTTGTACTTAAAAAACATAAATAAAATTTTAAAGCCGTAAGAACTAATCTTTTTTATGCATTTCAGTTGCCCGATGGACTGAAAATTGGCCGCCAAATAGACAAAGATGAACGGCGTCGCTTTGAATTTTTTACTGAAATTTTGTTGAGTGAACTATAAACAAAAAATCACACGATCTCGAGTACAATTTGGAATTAATAGACACTCGTAATGTTTTGAAAGTTCTTTAAGCCTAAAGGCTCGTGCTATTATAAGAACTTTCAAAACATTACTTGTGTCTATTAATTTCCAAATTGTACTCGAGATCGTGCGATTTCCTATACAAATTCTGACTTTTGAAACCCTGTTCTCCTTATTGACCTTTGCTCGTTCGTGCAGAAAATACTGCTTGAGTAGATGAATGATGAAGAGTAAACCAAAACAAGCTATTGCTCATGAAGTTCATTGAAAATTCTCATAAGTAATCACTTCGAAACCATCGGTTATCTTCTTACCTTGAAATCCTTGCTTACGAAATTGATAAATTAATATTTCTAGTTCAGCTGTCTTGAATTACAGTAGTCAACAAAATAGAGCATGGATAGACATAAACCTCTGCCATGTGGTCTGCTAGCTCCGCCCTCTCATAATCACTTGACAACACAATGACATTGATTGACATCTGGTACATGATAATTGATTGGCCTATTGATGTGAACCCCATAGCAGATGCCTGCAAAGGGCTCTTGGGTAAGTTCCTGAAGACCCCTGGGTATTTAAAAAAAAGACATTTTATGACTGTGATGCCACAGGTATCCCATTAACAATAATAAATATTTATGTGCACATGCTGATTATACGTTGTTTAAATATGACTAAAAAATGAGACCACCCAACCGAATTCGCTTCGTGGTCTAGTGGTTAGGTTTGGGGTTAGGGTTGGGGTTGGCATTGCAGTAGTTCTTTGGTGCCAAAGGTACCAAGTTCGATTCTTGGTGTATCACTTCATTTTTTTTTTTTCTAAGTGAGGAGAACCAAAATTCCCACTCATGCGTTCAGAAACCTATGACGTACTTTGTTAATCCGTACACAACGATAGTACATACTGCAAGTAAAGTGCTGCGAGTAGGCATGAAGGGTATTTATGGTTGTTGTGTATTGTTTATCTAGTGCCTGCATCTACATTTGAAAACAAGTATAGCTATCTTTAACAAGTACATTTACACTTATTTCAATAAAGTTAGTCACCAAAAACCTAGAAAGCCGAGATCACTGAGGATGATGGGAAACTTTTAATAACAAACGAGTAAAGCTTTCGATACAAACTGTGCATGCAGCTTGAGGATGCTCAGAATAGGTGAGACTAACTGCTAAAAGAACTAAAATCCATCAACAGTTATCAAATTGGTTGGAACATGTAAAATTCATCTACCCATAATCCTTGTTGGTCTCTGCTTTGTGGCTTTTCAGGTGGCTAACTTAATTGAATAAGTAAATAAGAAAAAAAAAATAGAAAGTCGTTGGGACAAAATTTTTAAAGAAGTTTGGTTCTCCTCACTTAGAAAAGCAATTCAATAGCAGGCAAGATTCAAACCTAGCACTCTTGGCAGCAAATTGTATTACAATGCCTATCCCAATCCTAACCCTAAATCCAACCACTCAGCCATGAAGTGAGTGCGATGGGATGCTTTCTGATTTTTGTCATATTTAAATAGATTTCTCTATCATTAGCATGCATCGTGAATACCACCAATATGGCTGCCATGTTTTTGTCTTTTGACTCTCTTGGGAATGCATGCAATCCATCAATAGTGGGTGATTTTATCCCTTTTTTTTTTTTCTTTAGAAAAGCCTCACAGAAAAAAAGAGAGTAATTAGTGTGATATATTTATTACTATGCATTTCCCCAGGAAAAAAAGAAGAAGATGTAAACTGGCAATCATTGATAGAACAGAGATGCTGAACAGTGAACTGTAATATGCTTGGAGTATTGTGGCACATATTTAAGAAATGCATGTCAGAAGGTAAGTTGATGCTCAGTTTACGAATATTTGCCACCAGAAAAATAAGTATACTAAGAGCTTTGTATTATGGTAAATTATACAGCTTAAACGCACTAAAAGCTTTTTATTATAGTTTTATTTACTACCATAACCAAAATCCCTCATACACTTTGTTCTATCACGGGGAACCCAATTCAGATACAAGTGATGGGTGAAAATAAATTCGGAAAAATTGAATAATAAATATTTTTTAATTTGAGCTCTACAATATCCTCTGTTAGGGAGTCATTAATTATTGGTGGGGGGGGGGGGTAAATTTATGGGGAGGGCTGTGATTTTTTGGGCCCCCATATGATCCACAAAAACCTCCTGTTCTATATGTATCCCACCTATAAGCTAATTACAGAGTATAACCTCTGACTTTTTTTGGTATGCAGACATATTCTATTGGCTTTATTAAAAACATTATTTATAAGAGTAGTAACTTGTCCAAACCATTTTTTCTTCAGATATATGTTTTGTTCACACACTATAAACTCAAAAATTTGAAAATATCTATAATGACTTGTAATATAAAGTATATATAAACTATCAAAAAATTGAACTGCAATTGTCGTACTTTCATTGCTGCTACCATTATCAATTGGAAAATTAAACGAGACTTACCTGTAAGTTGAAGTTTGATTGAGATTCTATCACATGCTTCGGCACCATGTACTTCGTTAACCTCGCGGGTTTCGTCGTTTTCAGGCATTCTAACTATGTTAGAATTTCACCTTGTTTCAACAAACCAACTGTGTTGGCTTATTTGATTGTTTGAGATCTAACTACGTTAGATTTTGAAGTGTTTTTTAGTAGAGTTACCAGATAAATGTCTTGCTAGACTCGACACACGTGTGCAATGACTTGACGCATGCGCTGTGCTATCTCATGGGATCTCCATGCCTCCGGTCATGTGATAGAATCAACACTATCATGACCATCTATTAAAATGAAAATCTATATCCACATTCTTCGCCTTCATTATCAGCATTATTGTAATCAACATCATGATCATCACGTACAACATCAAAATTACCGTAATATCCATCATATTTTTTAAAATAAATCAGTATAAATATTGACACGTAAATTGTCTTTATTATTATTGTTATAAATTGCTCTCATCATCAACGCTGACATCATCGTTGTCATCACCATCATCATTATCGTCATCACCATCATCACCACCATCATCAACATCATCACTATCATCGTTATCATCATCACCATTAGCACCACCATGATTATCAAAATCTAAAACTGCTCTTCATCATCATTATCTACATATTGTTTTTTTCGACATTTACATCTTGATTCAACAGCACGCGTAAATGTTGTTTTGCTCTTTCATCCAGGTGAGGAGATGATTTAGATATACCCTGGTGCAAATCCTGAGCAGGATCCTATTTACAAAAGGATCCTGTAGGATCTTGAATAAAATCCATATGATACATATGGTTTCAATTGATAATTTAATCTGGAAGCAATTAAATCCATGTCGGGGGAAATGCCCAATTTTTGAATAATTGCTTCAAAAATTGACGTTTTTAATTTCCATTCAATTTCTCTTCGTGAGAGGCTGGACTCAGCATCAGCTTTTACATTCTGTTTCCCTGGTATGTGTGCTACTGTCAACCAGATATTGTGAGCAATGCACCATTCCCATATTTGTTTTACTAGTTGGTTGTTTAATTGGGAATGGCAAGTGCCGATCTGGCCTATAGAGGCCACAGCTGTAGTATTATCTATCAAAAGCTTTATGTGTTTCCCTGATATTGTTTTTGTGAATGACTTCAGAGCAAGGAAAGCTGCAAGGATTTCTAAGTAATTTATGTCATGCTGAGTTTCCTCTGGTGTCCAATTACCACCAGTAGAAATCTTGTCAATGCAGCCTCCCCAGCCGATAAATGAGGCATCTGTGGTCATTGTCATATCAGGATTGCCGTGGCTTATTGGGTTATAGGCATTTGAGATGGATGATGTCCACCACAAGAGCTCTTTTCTGGCTTGCTCCGATAGAAACATTCCCTTATCAAAATTGCATTTCTGTAATTTGAGAGCTTTGGTTTTATCCATTTCAAGGCATCGGTAGTGCAAAGGGCCATACATTACCCCTGGTAAACTTGAAGTAATGAGACCCAATACTCTGGCTGCATCCCTAATGGTTGGGGAGGGATCGACCAATAATTTGGTGCAGGCGTCTCCCAACTTTTGAGCTCTGTCTTGAGTTAGGGATACCTGCATGAGAATTGAGAATTGGGCAATTTCTAAATCAATAGACTGCTCTTGCGAGTCTGGTAATTGACGGTTTCTCCTGAAAATAATCTAAGAGATTCGGCAAGAGATTGAAGGATTTTCTTACCTGGGATATGTTAGCTTCTTGAGTTATCTTCGGTCCGTCTGTTCGGACGGTCTTTTCTTGTTGTGTTGATAATGGGGCTTCCTCTGATTCCCCTGGTAGCCTTTCCCTAAAAAAGGCTTCCATTATCTTTGTGATTCAAACTCAATTCTCTGCCATGTCACTGTCTCTAAGATTTCAGGGTCAGAGGTTAACTCTTGCCATATGTGTGAATAAGCAGCTAAGTTTCCTGCTCTGAAATTATTCACTTTCTCCTGAAAATAATCTAAGAGATTCGGCAAGAGATTGAAGGATTTTCTTACCTGGGATATGTTAGCTTCTTGAGTTATCTTCGGTCCGTCTGTTGGGACGGTCTTTTCTTGTTGTGTTGATAATGGGGCTTCCTCTGATTCCCCTGGTAGCCTTTCCCTAAAAAAGGCTTCCATTGTCTTTGGTTGCCCTGCTGTTTGTAGTTCTTCTTATTTTGACCAGTGGAGACGTTTGCTGTGCTACTGATCTTATTCGACGCACGGATATGATTTAATTCAGTTTGAAGCTCGTCTCCAAACAGCATTGAGGTGATGGGCACATGCGCTGCACAAAGAGTTGTATATTCTTTGTTGAGGTTGGGGCGGATCGAGTCACGCCGTCTTTGGGACAGCTCAAAGCTCATGTGGCCTAGCAGAGCTATCATGTCCGTGTTCATTTTGATTATGTCATCTAGGTTTGGCGGGCCGTCAGCCTTCCTAGCTTTTAGTAGTATGTTGGTGGATTTTGCGGCAATGTTACCCACCTTTGTCAAAATTGACTGTAAGCTGGACAGCTTTAGATCTTTGCCACTCGTTGCGCGGTCTAAGTGACCCCAAATTTCGGGGTTGACTTTTGGAGTGATCAACCGATCACAATTAGAAGGCCGAAGGTATTTCTCCGCATTTTCTTTGATTTGCTCCTCACTCAATTTTGTGAGCCGTCTTGCATTTACAATCTTGGCTAGTTTCTCCGAGATTTCGTCTTCAGTCTTTTCCGATTCGGAAAGAGACTGTGCTATCTCATCGAGCAGTTTGTCCTGCTCCTCAGTGGAGTTGTCCGCCAATTTTAATCCTTCCCCATGGTTATTGCCTTTTTGTCGTTTAGACCGATGGCGACCCTTTAGTATCTGAGTCGTCGGTGTCGGATGCAAGAAGGTCATCCTCCATAGAAGGGGATTTCCTTTTGTTGGCAGATTCTGCCCTTTGGGGAGTGCTTGAATCCCCTTTGTTGTGCAATTGCTGGAGCGATTTGCTCATGACTTGCATATTTGCATTCATGGAGGCTAGGATGCATTAGAGACTCGTCACCACTCTCTCTCCCTGAAGAAATAGTCCTTGATGTAGTCTCCTCATCCTGACTTGGGTTTCCATCCAGTATATCGTTCGTGTCCGACATTTTGTTGCAAAATATAGCTTATCACAGGATACACGTCTGCCTGCTCGAAGGTCAAAAGCTAAAACTGATTGCTCAAGTTCCCGCGCTTCATCTCACGTGACTCTGTAGCGACTTAGACCAATGACGAAGTAGAATAGATATTAGACTAATACACCTTATTAGCCTCTAATTCCACGTTTTCTTTTGTGTCTATTTGACTATTACACCTAAACTATCAATTTGTATTTCACAAGTTTAGAGTGAAGACATTAAAACTGTGAAATAGATATTAGACTAATACACCTTAGCAGCCTCTAATTCCAATGTTTCCTTTTGTATATATTTGACTATTACACCTTAACTATCATTCTTTATTTCACGGGTTTAGCGTCTTCACTCTAATGTCTTCACTCTAGAACACAACTCACATTATCTTATGAACGAAACTTACTTTTCATCAGGTCTATTTTAGCCTGGTCCAGTGCTGACTTCTTTGACACAATATCTTTTGGCTCTACACTGCCATTTCTCATATTTTCATCTGAGAAGAGAATTGACAGCAAGGCTGTTGCATAAAAGCTTTGGCTTTTTGGCCTTGGCGTTTACAAGCTTCAATAAGTTTATGCCATTGAAGATCTGAAAAAAAGTATACTTTTAAGTCTGAAAAATTACTGTCCAATTAAATTTAAAAACGTTTTGTTTTGTGTTTTCAGTTGAAACTTAAAAAATTCCTTATTGTAATCAGGTGACTGTGATCCACTGGGGCTCTGAAGCATAGTTTCCTGAAATTAAAAAAAACAGAAAAGGTGAATGAGATACTATAAAATTTTCTTTCATACTTGTATAATTATTGTTGCTCTTAACATGGACATACAGTCAAACCTCTATTACTGGACACCTTGGAACTAGGCTAAAAGGTCCAGATAATGGAGTCCGGATGATCAAAAACATGAATATTACTGCAATATGAGGATCTTGATAAATCGAACCTTCAAGGGAAATACAATTAAAAGTTAGAGTTATCAAGGCGTCAAGTTACTGAGGATAAATTTAATTAAAGTTAATGTAAATCCAGAGAAAATCATTTTTGGTTTGAGTTGGAGCAGAGCTGTGAGTTGAAGCTATTGGGATTTTACTGTATTTTGAAATCAAAGATATCTTCATAATTAAAATGCCATATCAGAAAAGTACCTCATTTGACCCAAGACTTGTTCTTGCACTTGTGACAAGTGGCATG